TGAAATTTCCTTTCAGAAACATTGTTTTCATTAAACGTTGGAGCAAAATTGCTGGTAGAAAAGTTGTACAAAGAAAAAAGCTGGTAACATATTTCAACTCATTTCAATATACCTACACTTCTTATATTTGTGTTTTGACATGTGTTTTTTCTAGTAAATTTTTTCCGATATTTACGTGTTACAATTTATCTGAAAACTCAATTTATCTAAATATTACTTTAAACAGGTCATTTTTTGATTTCATAGATTTTCGATACAATATGTTAAATAAAAACACTTAATTGTAAAAATCGTAGGAAAACATTCAATTTCACCATTTCATTATTTTATAAAAATACGGACGACTTTTTCTACAAAAGAAAATGATTTAATCGAAAAATCACAAAATACCTTTTTTATCGCCTTTTTGATTTACTTCAGTGAAGTTTCATTGCAAAATTGTTTAAACCCATTTTGAGCTTTAGGGACATTTTAATTTTTTGGATTTTTTTTTCTGTTATTCAGTTATCAATACACGGAGAGACTTGAAACTTGATAATAAGACTAATATTGGACTTCCCTAGACGTGGTAAAATTTCCCAAATCATCGAATGATTTTTTTTTTTGTTGGCTTTGTTAAGTTCGGCAAGCACCGCGTTGTCCAGCGTTATTATGGCATCGTCCATTGATCTGCCTCTTGGTTAGGCACCAGTCTTCCTTTCTGTTCAATAACTGCTTATAATGTTATGCTCTACCCTGCGAACCATCCATATGATTTTGCCGGTGATTTCATTTAGACCTGCCATCATGTTCCTGCCTTTTACCCACTTCATGGTTCATCTTCGACGGTAAACAGGCAATGGTCAGCCAAGTCACATCGTGTATAACCGCGGTTGGTCGTAGGTTGTGCCGGAAAAAGGGTGTCCTTGATAATCCTCAGCATCTGTTGCTCCACAGAGTGCGACTTCAGGAGTAGAGGTTTTGGAGATTCCAAAATATTCAGTCATGTTTTAATTTTTGTCCTTACGATGAGTTTTTAATTTGAAATCTGTCGTACTATTGTAGATATATCATAATACCCCAAGCAATGCAATTATTTGTTTATATATTTTAATTTTATGAACCTTAATGTTTCGTTATTTTAATTATTTAAATTTAAAATATCTAATACAACGAATGACAAACTATTTACAACATGCATACTATTTTAGCTTATGTTTTTACATAATATAAATGTATGTTACAGTGTCAGGACTATTTGATACAAGTTCTGATGAATATTCACCTTTGGATGAAGAAGAGAAAGATAGCAAGATTGCAAATAATTCTGATGAAGAATCACCACTAGAAGAAGAGAAAGATAGCAAGATTGCAAATAATTCTGATGAAGAATCACCACCAGAAGAAGAGAAAGATAGCAAGATTGCAAATAATTCTGATGAAGAATCACCACCAGAAGAAGTGGTGAAAGAAGCAGGAGACGGAGAAGTGGAACAGACGGAGTTGAAAACGGATTTGAGCTGACAACCAGTAGGCTAACAGAATATATATCATAATTTATATTATCTGCATTGTGTTCATTACTATTGAATCATTTAAAAATAAAAAATGGATTACTAAATTACAATTCATTGTTAATTTTTCTATTAATTTAATAATATTTAATACAATGTTCAATTGTCTTTGAAGTTTTTCTGTCGGCTATTTTTTCATACTCCCAGTAGTCCCAGTTGTATCGATTTTCAAGTACTTTATTTTTAACCATAACATAGCTATTTGCAAAAGAATGTTTTTAAAAAATGCAGTCCTATTATAGAATGAAATACAATAATACGTACGACGGTGGGTCTAACATTAGTGATTTAATGTAATATTATAATCGGACGACCATAAAAATAAAATAAAATAAAGGACACTAAAAATAAACAAATTAAACATAATTAATAGACTCTTCCCATTACACGAATGCACCTGGCTCAGCTTTTGATTACAAGCCTAAATACATTAAAATCGAGTTAAAGAGTTAAAATTATTATTTGATTAGAACATGTAATTAATGCTTAAGCAAAGTACACATAGAGAGATTTGTCATTCCCTATTAAGGTGTGTTAAAGCTAATCTACCTAATGTAGGAAATTATGATGTTTAAAATCCAAATGCATGATTACTTTTTAGGATTTTGTTAATAAATAATATTCGCGCAGATAGTGGAAATATTTACATTGATACTCTAAATGTTAGTTTAAATAACAGTAGAGAGGAAAATAATTTAAATAACATTCGGAAAGACTTTGTCGCGACCAAAAATATTTGTACAGATAATGAAAACAGAAATATTGATTATTAACATAGAAACTGAAAAAAAATTAAAAAATAATCAACCGGAATACGACAAGAGCGAAAGTGTAGATATAACCGCAGATAATTTTAATAAAAAAATTGGAATTCCGCGAAAACGTAAAAAAATAATAAAATAAATAATGTATTTAATTTTTTAGATGAAGATAATTTAAATAAAATAAAATACTCAGAACCAAATAAGGAAAGGATAGATAAAAATGAGAAAAAGAATAATTATTATAAAATTAAAAGCACAGATAAAATAATGAGACCGCAAATGATGAAACCGGATGACGAATTAGAAAATGAGCAAACTAGAAATAATAATTTAAATAAATGTATAGATAACAAACTCTCAGAATTAAACAAAGATAGTGAACGAATATACTTTATTTTAATTCCTAGAACTAAAACAATAGTATCAATACCTATCGCTGATGCGCATGCCGCCAGTAAAAATATGAACCATAAACAAGAAATTGTCAAAGATAACTGTGATAACACATTATGTCAAGTCGAAAATAATATCGTAATAATTATATGTTAAATATAACCGAAATAAAAAAGAAATAAAATTAAGTGAATTAAATAAAATACTTTTCATTTGAAACAGAATATGACGTCCACACAACATAAATAAAAGTAATAAAATAAAAGTCACAAAATAAAAGCATAATAGGCAATAAGCAGAACATAAAGGAAAGACAAGCAATATTTGAAATTTGTGTACAATATTCGGAAATATTCCATTAAGAAGTGTTATACCTTAACATTTACAAATGCAACAAAGCATTGCATACATTTAAAAGAAGGTTAATTACCTATATATAAACGATTAAATCGCGTAATTTTTGCCCAACAAGGGGAAATAAATACCCAAATTCAGAAAATGATAGACGACGATAGAGTCGTCTATGAGTCTTTAGAATGCATCATTACTACTAGTTAAAAAGAAAGCAGTTGTAAGTGGGAAAGAAAAGTTTATGATAGTTATTGATCTCAGAGAACTTAACGAAGTAACTTAAAATGAATATTATCTATTTCCAAATATAACAGAAATCCTTTATCAGTTAGGTGAATATCAGTTATTTACGAGCATTTATAGACTTAGCATCGGGATTTTACCAAATACCTTTATCAGATCTATAGCGTGAATTAACGACTAATCACGGACATTTTCATTTTAAACGAATGGCAATAGGAATGACAATTTTACCTGCCACTTTCCAAGGACTTATGAATAATGTATTAGCAGTAAATATAATAAGTATAAAATGTTAAGTGTATCTAGACGACATAATCGTCTACGGGAAAAATTTAATCGATCATAATAATAAATTAGGCGACGTTTTTGAATGATTAAGAAATAATAATTTAAAAATATGAATTCTAACAAGGGAATGTGTAGGTTAAGTTATATAGGTTATAAAGGTTAGGTAAATTTAAGGCACATAATAATTGAACACGGAATAAAACCCGATCCGGAAAGGATAAAATCTGTTCTAGAATTTCCGATACCTACAGATGTAAAAGGAATTAAATCATTTTTAGAATTATCGAAAGTTTATAGAATCATATAACGCAATCGCATAACCGATAACGAATTTATTAGGAAAAGACGTTAGATTTGAGTGATGTGAAGCTTGGCCAGAAATCTTTTGATAAATTAAAAAATGCTTTATGTTCAAAACCTATATTGCAATATCCAGATTTTACAAAACTATTTATATTAACAACAAGGGAGATAAATACAATAAGGCGTTAGGAGCAATCTAATCTCAAGAAGAAGTAGGAAAAGATTCACCTACAGCTTATGCGTTGAGGACTTTAAATTAAGGCGAGATATAATTATAGTACAACTATAGTAGAATTAGAATGTTTAGAAACCTAACCTATCCTAGATACCACGAATTTAAATTTTTATCGGATGACCAAATAATTTCAGTCTGGGAACAATCATAAAATAAATTTAAGAACACGAAGTGATTCCATTAACATAAATAAATTTTGATTAAGACGAAGCAATCGAACCACTAGCAAAAAAAATACGATCTCTTATAGCCGACAGTGACGAAGAAGACGAAGGAAATGAATTACATAAATATAAAAGTATGACAGATAAAATAAGTCATAATCAAGATCTATTATTATGGTGGAAATACAATGAGAAAAAATATCCTGTAGTTTCATAGATGGTAAAAAAAATTTTCAGTGTAATAGCAACAAGCGTTCCTTGCGAACGTTTGTTAGTGAAGCTGTTCAGTCATTACCAAAAGAAAAATGTGCTTATCACCAGACAGAAAAAAATCAACTACTTTTTTTGAATTCATATTTAAAAGAAAAAAGATATACCAGATAACGTAATGGTATGAAAACCATTAATAATAATAGTTTTTACTTAAATACTTATTCATTTTAAATTTATGCATATTTTCTGGAAGCAATTATACAAAACTTGGAGGTTCCTATGGTAGATGAAAAGTAAATAAATATAATGTACCTGTAATTTTCATTCAATATTTCATTTTGTTTATAATAATATAATATGAAACCTTTTTTTAATGTAATAAATATAAATTCCAAAAAAAAGCCGTCAATATTTTTGTATTCAGTATTGTTTTTACTATTTTAATTTTATAAATTATATCGATATATCGTTTTTCGATATCGTGAAATGATATCGATATAAATGAAACGATATCGATATCTAAAAATATACCGTTGTAATTAGTTAATAACCCTAGTGTTCCAACACCGTGGGCAGGTAAAATAATTATAGTTTCTATTTATTGGTATTCGTCATTATTCTCGGACACACGTTCCCGTATCCGTCTAAACAGCAGGAGGAAGATAGTGATTCAAATACCAGATTTAACATAGGTATCAAAGTAACCCACCCCGTTCATTTTATACATTATTATTTTTATTATCATATCATTGTTTCCCCTCCTTTTTGTATCACTTCAATACACTACGATACACTAATATTTGAAAAAAGATATTCTATTCTCGGAAGTGGATAGATAACCATCTATCCACTTTTAAATAGCGGTTAACTGTAATCTTATAATCTCCGCAAATACGAATAGTTCCATTTGCTTTTGGTACTGGCAATATTAGAGTTCCATAATCACTTTTGTCTACAGGTGAAAATATTCCTTCTTTAACTAATCTATAAAGATCTACTTCAACTTAATCTTTAATGATGATAAAAACAATAATTTTTAAAATTAATGGGGTTAGTTATTTTGATACCTATGTTAAATCGGGTATTTGAATCACTATCTTCCTCCAGCAGTTCGGAGGGATACGGGGTCGTGAGATCAAAAATGGCAACGAGATCAATAAATAAAGAAAAGTATAATGGTGTTGGAAAATTAAGGTGTATGCCAGCCTGTAAATATCCTCACGTGATCTTAGAGTCGTTGGACGGCAGTCACAATTCAATTGGAACAAACTAATTTAATTAATTAATACTTTTCACCTGTGTGCACTTAGATAAAAATGCTAATCTTTAGATTAGAATAACAAAAGGTTGAATTATAGTGTAAGTTAATAAAAAAATCAAATACGAATGATTATAGCTGCTAAAAGTCGTAGCCATCTATTAAAGAGAGGTCTTCAAGAGATTGATGGTAGGTACTGATTGTATGTGTGGTTCTCGACAGAGTGATATTTTAAAAATATTTCTCGAGAGGCTTTTTTTTATAATCAAAGAGGTCTTCGAGTCGGGGCCAATGAATTATAATTTGCTGATAATCAAATTTTAAAAATAAGAATTTTGTTAAGTAATAAAATTGGATTGTCTGCAACCACGTGTGCAGGGATGATGTCGTCAAACGTACCGATCGATGTGTGTATATTCTCACAAGTTATTTAGTGTATCGACTAGTAAAAAAATATATTAACCTCTCTCCAATAACGAACGTCCCATTGTATTTATTACTTTAATAATTTTTTTTTTACTAAATACCAAGTACTCGGTCATATCTGAATCTTTTAGTCACACGATTGAAAAGTAAATGCATAAACGTAAAATGTTGTGTGAGCATAACATTACATCACTATTACCATTTTTTCCAGTTTTTTAATCCTTCTTTTTGTTGACTGAATTGTTCGTGTTTTCCGTCAGTTTGTGAAGTTGACTTCTCTTTGGCATTTCGCTGGATGTTAAATATTTTCCAAACACTTTTCAGCACTTTTCTATTATTTTTATTCTAATTACAATATCTATATACAATGTACTACAGATATATTTAGGTTTATGTATATCAGCATTCACAATAGAAGAATGATTTTTTGTGAAGTTTTTAGTTTTTTTTTTTTTTTTTTTTTTTTTTTTTTTATTTAGGAATAAAGGCTTCAACATCTAGGTCATTAGCCTGTGTGTATATATATTACATTACATTATTATATTGTTTTACATTGTGTAATACATTGTTTAACATTTAAAGTATTATTAAATCTAAGTTTTAAATTTCAGAGAAGTATCCAATTGCTTTGAAGAAAATATTGATTAGATGAGTGTTGTGTTCTCCAAGTGTTGTTTCCATTGTGGTTTGATGGTTTAGGATAGATTTTGCCTGTGCGAATTGCGGGCAGTGTAATATGATGTGTTTGATCGTTAGTTGTTCGTTGCATTGAGTGCATATGGGTGGTTCTTCATGTTTGATTAGGTGTACGTGAGTAAGATTAGTGTGTCCTAATGATGTCCTGGTAGTTACAATGTCTTCACGTCGGGATAAATTAGTTGAGGTATGCCATTTACCAATGCTTTTTTTAATTTCTTTTAATTTGTTTGAAAGTGGTACTAAGTCCCAAGATTTTTTCTATGTTGCGTTTGCTAGTGTGTTTATTTTTTTTGATACATCCTGGTAAGTTAGCCTGTTTATAATTGTTACATCAGGTGATGCGGTTGCTTCGTTTGCTAGTGCGTCAGCTTTTTCGTTTCCCATTATGCCTGTGTGCGACGGTACCCACATGAATTGGATGGTTTTCTTAGACCTAGCTAGAATGTTGTGTATTTGTTGAATAATTTCATTGAAGGGGTTTGGTGATTCGAGGGCTAAGAGGACGCTCAGGGAGTCGCTTATAACTAGTATTTTGTTGGAAGTCATTGAGTTTGTGTATGTATAGCCTCTTTGATGGCTTGAGATTCTGCGGTGAATATGCTAGCTTCAGGAGGGAGTTTGTAAAGCTTGCATGATGAGCTTGTTGTATAGGCGAATCCCACACCATTGGCGTTTTTGGAAGCATCGGTATATATTTGGGTATAGTCGTGAAATTCAGAGTTTACAATTTCGTTGAAGTTTGCTTTTATTAGTGCATGTATTGTGTTGTGCTTGTTAAGTAGGAGAAGTTGAGTGTTTATATTGATGTGTCTTTTCCAAAAGGAAATAATGTTATAGGGAGACGAAGGTTCGATATCAAATGTGAAGTTTTCGCAAAGTTTTCTGTATGTATCGATGATTTTGGTGTGCTGACATGAATCGCTGGATCTAGGGGTAGTCATGAGTATTTTGGATGTTTTATGGTGCTGTAAGGATTTTTTTTTTAATATGTTGTAACGTCTCGCGTCGTCTTGACAAAAAAAAAAATATTAAGATAGTAATACTTTAAACAAGAGTTGGCAGCCGTAAAGACGGAGTTCGCCACGAGCGTTATGCGACCCGGGCGTTCGCCACGGACCGACCTGCAACCGAGACAGGATCAGCCGGAGTTACAGGATTTACCTAAGTACTAACAAGTTAAATGTATTGAAACATATTATAGAATATCCTGAAAGGAAACATAGGTGAAATATAAATACAAATAAAAATAAATAAATCATAATAAAAAAAAATAATAATAATAATAATAGGGTAGTATCGGCCAATATTAAAAACAACAAGGGATATGCATACCTGACCGGCGGTCGGGGACGACCGTGCCGGGGACTTGTGTGGACTTTTAGCCTCTCATTTTGAGTCGGAAACGGAGCAAAAATAAAAAGGTCCGTATCCGTGAACGGTGTTGGAGCAAACAACAAAAAAAAAAACGATCCGGTGGCCGTTATGCGGTCCGTCGGTCGCGAAATTGAACTGTTATCATCTGATTGGCCGATACCCCCCTTTACACATCGATATACGCTCGCAGAGTGATGGTCGGGTGGTGNCCCCCCCGAATAAATTATAACTACAAGTAGTGAAAATTTATTCGTAAAGAGTGATGAGGAGGGAAAAGAAAATTGAATGTTAAAAAAAAATGGGGACTATCATATGATATTGTGCACGCCGGATCGAGCAATGACTATTAAGACAAAGATATCGATCTAGTTTGGCGATAACGCATCGACTTTTAATCGTAAAGCCCAAGGTATTGCGCGGTTGTCCACGCATTCAGCGAGCGTGATACTGTTTAATACAGGCACTATATATTTGCGTAAGAATACTATGTTATATGAGATGTTAAGTCCAAACGGTACTACGCAAAATTGGTACGTTCGACCATTATATAAGAAAGCAGTAAATTTACGAACGTCGACATGTAGAGGCACTTGCCAGTAGCCAGATGTAAAATCAATACTGGAGAAAGATACGTTTCCTTGAAAACGGCCTAATAACTTCTCCAAAGGAGGGGATGAATCTCTCATAGGTAATATTATTTGATTTATTCGACGAGCGGCAAGGCATAACCGGACGCCACCATCAGTTTTTGTGACACACAATATCGGATTACTGTATGGTGACGAACAACGTTCAATAACCCCCCACTCCAACATACGGTTTAACTCATATTCGACCGCTGGTCGGCGTGAGAAAGGTATAGGATATGGCGTAATTTTAAAAGGAACGTCTTCCGAAACGTTAAACTTACACACGTATAATTTATTTAATCCGGGTCGGATACGAAAAATGGAATTATATTTTTTAAATAATTGAACGGCCTCATTATATTGTTTATCGGTCAAATGAGTGTTTATGCGTAATTGTTCGAAAATGTTATTAAATGACTCTATATCGGGTTCATCATATGTAATCGTGAATACAGAATCAAGCTGTGCCTGTACCGATATCCCTTCATCAGCAAACGAAAATTGTGTATCCCAAAGGGGAAAATAAAATATTCGAACGGAATACCTAATATCGACTAGGTGGTCAGTTAACCAGTCGGTACCTAATATCATTGGAGTTGACAAACGGGGAACAACTAGAAATATACAGTCGGCGGCAATTTTGTTTATAAAAAATGGAATCAATACCTGTTGCGTAACACGTCGACTACGGCTCTCCACAGCGGTAGAAATAGTTACGCTGGTGACGGGTAATATGGATAAACTTTGATCGGTTGGAATGGTTGATTTCAGAGAGAGAAAATAATGCTCGGAAATGGCGGACACTGACGCGCCAGTATCAATTAATGCACGACAGAGGTTCTCAAAAATTGTTATATTGAGTTCGGGGCGACGGTACTCGGTATTGTCACGTGAATCATCAGATGGATCTTTGACCTTCTCTTCATTCGGAACAGTCGGTCCAAGGACAGGGGTTTTCAAAATGGGAGGATTTTTTACATGTTCTATAGGATCGGAAATTATTACAGGGATCTCTGATGTCGATACATCAACGGATTTATTTACGGGAACTGGATCTATAGGGGAAGAAAAATTCGAATTGTTTTTCCTTTGTCGTATGGGTGTTTCGGAGGCAGTCCCCGCCGACATATTCACGGGGCGGCCTCCTCTTCCTCGTTTCCCGACGCAGTAAGTTGGTGGATCGGCCGATCATTGTCCTCGTTTCGAGGGGCGCTATTATTATTTGGACGTCGACGGTTATCATTATTATTATGATTTCCAACAGCGTGAAATGGACGAGGATTATTATTATTATTGCGGTTATTATACGGTTGAAAATTGTTATTATTATTGCGGGGGTAACGGTTGTTAGAATTATTCTGATGATTTGGTCTGTTTCCATTAGACTGGGGACGAAACTGGTATGACGTCTGGTTATGTGAACCTGGGGAAATACTACTTTCTGAAATCACGGGGGTCTCTTCCATCTCGGTAAGGATATTCAAAAGTTCGTTGGTATTCGGAGGATGTCTACCGATGATGGCAATTTTGATATGAGTTGGGAAATGTTGAGTAATGATCCCTACAAGATCATAAGTATCGATCGGGGGATTGAGATATTGTGCTTTGGCGATCCATCCCATCGCATGTTTGGCTAGACCTCGGGGACTCTTGTAATGATAGGGAGAAAAAAGCTCATTGCGGACTTGGCGTTGAATGGGAATGGACCAGAACTGTCCGCGAAAAAATCGTACAAGTTCGGCGTAGCTGTCGGGCCGGGGTAACAGTACGTCAAACCAAGATCAGGCGTCGGGCCATAAACGTCTTTTAAAGAACGCGATTTTCTGAAGATCAGAAAAAGGATGTGTGGAAAAAAATTGGTCTAATTCGAATAAATAATTTTCGGGGTTGCGTGTCGCTTCGGTTCCCAGTAAACTGATGTACAACATCACTCAAACGCTCGAACGAAATGCTAGAGTTTGACGACAGTGATGACGGATATAATAAGTTGGTGGAATGTAAGTGGGGTTGAAAATTAGAGGTGGAGAGGAAGGTATTTTGAAGATCTTTTACTACTGATTTTATGCTGTTAATCTCAGAATTAACGGCCTGCTGGACTGACTCGAGCTGTTTCTTTACGAGATCTACGCGGGAGGAGTTTTCATTAACCTGATTTTTTACGGAGGCCAATTGGGAAGTCAGACAGTTTTTAACCTCTTCAGTGCTTTTTTATAGTCTTTCCTGCATCTTTCTATCGTTATTTTTCAAGAAAGTCATCAAATCGGCGATGGAAATGTCTGGGGGTATATCTGATTTTTGGGGATAGCGTTGGGGGCGTTAAGTGAAATAGGGTCTGTGGGGGTTTTCGAGGGGTTGCTAGTAGCCATCTTCGGTTTCTCAGATTGCAATAATTTACTTTGTAACCTGGTTATGGGCATTTAATGCACGGAACTGGATAATATACTGATAAAATAATAAATAAAAATAAAACGTATACGAGAATATCGAATAACGACGTTCGGTCGCGGAAACCGCAATTGAAAAAAAAAAATCTAACTCGGACGAGTTTAAACGCTTCTTAGCGTGAAACAACTATTAGAAATGGCTTATAACTATGGATATAGTCGAAATAAATTAATGGTTAACCGGGCCGAATGAATAAAAAAATTCGAACTAAAAATTCGAGAATACGTCGTCAAGACAAAAAAAAAATTGAAATTCGATTAAATAAGAAAAGGAAAACTGAATCAGCGAGTCTCGTGATACGGGCGACTCGACCAACCAGTCAAGAAGCATAATAATACCCAACATATTTAACGTGGGCACGATACTACCTATCACTACTAACAAAATGAGCTAACTCCAAAAGATAAATAAAATGTCCCAACGGGAAAAAAAAACGAAAAACGAGAAAAAAAAAAATAACAAATTCTAACAGCGGAAAACCTGAAAACTTAACCTAGGTACATACGCGCCACCAAAATCGCCTACACTTACAAACTATAACTTATAATTAACATAAGCGGGCATATCGTCAAATACACACCGCTGGCATAAATAAAATATAAATATAATATAAATAAAATAGTTTGTAATATCGTTTTACCACATTTAAACAAATGTAGTCATTCGTCAAAACGAGTAACACAATGTATATATAACAAAAATTACTGCGCGAAAATATCACATCGCATGTAAGGAGACATAGGTATAAAAGAAATAAAATAAAACTGCACAGCACTTATTATTGCCGTGCAAATCATTATAATTGGGACATGACCTTTGTACGTTGTCGCGGTGACGGTGAATTTCGTGAACCGGTGGAGTTGTTTTTGCGGCACGCTGATAACGGCAGCTGCAGTCTTCACACACCCCATCACCGCCCATCCACTCTGCGGCGACATCATGATAAACGGCAAACAACGGGAACGCACTAAAATTAAAACGGACAGCAGAAAAAACGTCCTACGGCAAAATATTTATGGCCGACACTCAGGGTTTTAATATATCTATCGTACTGATTAATAATCAAAGTTAATATTTCCAACCTTACAACAGTTTATATAACAGCAAGAAAAAAAAAATAAGATAAAACATCTTCGAATGGTACTGTCGAAATGTTCACATCCACCCGTCTCCCGGAATACATCCAACGGACGTCAAAAATACTGAGATACAAGAGTACGACATATTGTATCTATCAACAAAATAAATAATAAAAAAAACCTAACGGGGAACTGAAGTTCGGCAGCTGAGGACCCCGGTGCTACACTCGGACGGGTGCCATACTTAAAAAAAAAACGACAACTACTAACAGTCTTCAAACAACAAAACACGTTTCACTTCCACATTGGATAGATCAACCCGCACACACAGTGCTAATAAACAAGCTCAAAGGCGAATAGACCAAAAAGGTTAAGGGATATATAATAATATAATAAGCTTCGTAAAGCAGGGCCAAAGAGAAAAATATAATCGTACAATGCAACACAACAAAATCAACGTTTGCCAGAAATAAACTGGGAAAATGAAACAAATGTAAACAAAAGCTAATAACAATCTAAATGAGTTATAAACTAGGGGAAATTTCGATGATAAGTAGAATAAAATACGCAAGTATTTTTAGAACGGCACACCTCAAGGTAAAATGACTGCGGAAAACTATCACTTTATGGGGCTCGTTTAGAAATATTTAAACAGGAAAATTATTGTTATAATGGCGGCTGTGAAACTTTAATATTAAACGGACGAAATTCGACAAACGAAAGAAACAATTTTTTCGTGCTTCTGATACACACGAGTGACTTAAACATTTAATAGAATGAGTTCAGACCATTATTGTACGTGGGAAACAAATAAACGTGTCAGTTCACCGATATACTCAACGAAAAAAACCTTTCGGGACTGACAAAGCAAATTAAATTCAAATTTTCAAATTTAACATAAACAGGGGGTTTTCGGTGTTCTTTTCCATCTCTTTTAGATCTCCCCATATCTCCCCGGAGCCTCCATTTGTAACGTCTCGCGTCGTCTTAACAAAAAAAAAAATATTAAGATAGTAATACTTTAAACAAGAGTTGGCAGCCGTAAAGACGGAGTTCGCCACGAGCGTTATGCGACCCGGGCGTTCGCCACGGACCGACCTGCAACCGAGACAGGATCTGCCGGAGTTACAGGATTTACCTAAGTACTAACAAGTTAAAAGTATTGAAACATATTATAGAACATCCTGAAAGGAAACATAGGTGAAATATAAATACAAATAAAAATAAATAAATCATAATAAAAAATAATAATATGTTCTCTAAAAAATATGCCATTATATAGAAAAAAGTATGCTTTTTCGTTTGGAATTGACCGATGTTCGAAATTCGGCTTAGAAGTATCACTTTTTTTCAATTTAGTATTGAAAAAACCGTGAAAATTCGCTAACGAACGATACTAAAATTTTGTCTATATTCCTCATAAAATTTTAACTATTTAGAAAAGATCTCTAAAGAATATGCCATTATATAGAAAAAAGTATGCTCTTTCGTTTGGAATGGACAGATGTTCGAAAATCGGCTTAGAAATATCACTTTTTTTCAATTTATAATTGAAAAAACCGTGAAAATTCGCTATCGAACGATACTAAAATTTTGTCTATATTCTAAATAAAATTTTAACTATTTAAAATAGATCTCTAAAGAATATGCCATTATATAGAAAAAAGTATGCTCTTTCGTTTGAAATGTTC